ATACTGTATGTTACTGATATTGGTGTAAGTTGTACACCAATCTGTATCACTTAAAATCGCTCAATTACAGCACCACTTAAATGTCTAGTGTCCTACAGGCTGTGTCAGTGCATGCTGTGCTGGACATGTAGTGTTGTATTGAATGTAATGGGCTAAATTATTTGAATAACTTTAGGCACTTGCACATTCAGTACCTCAGACTTTTAACAATATAAATGCCTCTCAGTTTATCATATCTAAAATGCATCCTTACCATTAATCTAAATTCTAAATGTGATTTATCTCAAAGTGGAATGGAGTAGATAGGGATCTCTAGCTGTGTCAGTTATTGGCAACTATGGTATCATATATGACAAAGCACTGTAATGTGCCATAAAAAAGAAATGTCAGTGTTGGGCCTGTGCTGACGCCTGCTCTGAGCTGTTGTGTTGAGTGTTTCTGTGTCTCACCAGCCCTCCAGTCTGGGATCGATGGCTTTAACAGAGGGGGCCCTGAGCCAGCATGACCTCATCAGGGTGGTTTACAGTGACCTCCACCCCCAGAGAGAGACCTTCACTGCACAGAACAGGTATGAGTGTGTCTCAAGCTTTCTTTTAGCTGTCTTTTCATGTCTTGAAACTGTTTACACTCTATACTAAAGGATTTTAAAATTATCAACATGAATATTACAAGATATAACATTGATTTGTAACTGACTACAATTGTAATGAGAAATAACTGTGTTTAATTTTTGACCAAGAATTGAATGTGAAATATGAGTTTTTTCTAATAAACATAACTGTTTCTGGTTTACAATTTTTAAACCTAATCTAGTTTGATTCTCTGGCACATACACTAAAAACTATTTTAATTTGATCATTTCTTGTTTTGCATTTATGTTTTACTTAATCTGGTTTAAAATTGACATTTTATTCTATACTATATTTTGAACTTGTTCCCCTTTTCCCCCTTTTTAGATGTTAATTGTGTATAGGAATAAATATTCTAATCTCTGACTTTCTAATACATACTTTTAATCAGAAATTGTAATTCAAAATGTAACCTTAATGAAAAGGTTTAACATCATTTTTCATGGTGGTTCTTCTATCTTAAACATCATTAGTATGACAGTAGGTGCATTATTATACTGTAGATTTATAACTCTTGTGAAATTTTGTGATATTTAATGATTTAATTAATCAAGTCAAAATATTGATCTAGGATTTTCTTATTTAGGAAAGGATCTGACAGTTATCAAAATTGTGTGTATTCTTTTTTTCAATGTAAATCAATGAGAAGGAGGTTTGTACCAGAAATGATCAAGTAATGAAGTAATTTTTCTTTTTATTTTCTAGCAATATC